GAGGGGGAAGGGCTGGCCGGCCTGGCAGCCGCTGGGGGCGAGCCCCTCCGGGGAAGCTGGCCCGGGAGGGGCCGGCGAGGGGCGCCGGAGCCCCGGGACTTTCACGCTTGCGGCCCTTAGCCCATCCCCGCTGCTCACACCGCCTGGGTGTCAAACCCGCTGTGGTTTCAGTTGTAACCGATCTGTTTTCCTCCAGTCACAGGGATTTCGGAGCAGCCGGTCTTAAGGAAGTCCTCAGCTCCTTGAGGAAGCATGGCTGACATATGTTACGGTCCACACCATCAAGGTAGCGCTCGTGTGTACATGGAGAAAGGTCACTGGGCGAGGCCCTTTCCTTTCTGCCAGAAGCCATTTGGATTATTGAAGGTCCCTGGAAGGTCTGGATGGATTGGATTTCCTCGTTTTTAAGTTTAATTTGGTGGGGGGTTTGGGTGCTATCCCTCAGCTCTTCAGCTCAAGTGCTCTACCACTTGAGCCACAGCGCCACTTCAGGTTTTCTGAGTGGTTTATTGGAGATAAAGAGTCTCATGGACTTTCCTGTCCAGGCTGGCTTTGAATCACAATGCTCAGCTCTCAGCCTCCTGAGTAGCTAGAATTACAGGTATGAGCCACTGGTGCCCGGCTCCTATTTTTCTTTTTCTTTTTCCTGTATTTAAACTTAGGACCTTGCCCTAAGTTTACCAAGGCACTTTACCACTTGAGCCACACCTCCAGTTCCAACCCTTTAGTGGTTAATTGGAGATGAGAGTCTCACTGCCTGGGCTAGCTTTTAACTGGGATCCTCAGATCTCAGTCTCCTGAGTGGCTAGGATTACAGGCATGAGCCACCAGTGCCTGGCTAGCATTATTCTTTTTTTATATTTTCTTATACAAAACAGATGGTGTCCTTAGGATTTGCTTCTTTTTCTTTTTGGTGCTACTGAGGTTGTGGGTTTGGCTTCTCGGGACCCCTCAGCTATTTTCTTTTTTTCTTTTCTATTTCTTTTCGGCAGTTGTGGGGCTTGAACTCTGGGCTGGGCTGGGCATTGTCCCTCAGCTCTTCAGCTTAAGGCTAGCACTCTACCACTTGAGCCATGCACCACTTCTGGTTTTCTGGTGGTTTAATGGAGATAAGAGTCTCACAGACTTTTCTGCCCCAGCTGGCTTTGAACTGCGAGCCTCAGATCTCAGCCTCCTGAATAGCTAGGATTACAGGCATGAGCCACTGGTGCCTGGCCTGTGGACTATTTTCTTTTCTTTTTTTCTGGGGGGGGTAGGGGAGGTCCAGTCGTGGAGCCTGAAGTCAGGGCCTGGGTGCTGTCCCTCACCTCTTCAGCTCAAGGCTAGCGCTCTACCACTTGAGCCACAGCGCCACTTCTGGTTTTTTTCTTTATACTTATGTGGTGCTGAGGAATCGAACCCAGGGCCTCAGGCATGCAAGGCAAGCGCTCTACCACTGAGCCACCTTCCCAGCCCTGTGGACTATTTTCTACTTTTCTCTGTTTCCCTGTTTCCTGTACTTTTCAGCTTGTCCTGTTACCTCTTTCCTGACTGCCAGTGATTTCTGTCCATGGCATATTGTCCCTTTTTCGTTATCTTGACTCTTGTGCCCAGTCCCTCCTTTCACATGGTTATCATGTTTGATAATGAATCTCCAGAATTTTCTTATTCTGACTAAATGTAACTTAGTACTCTTCTACTGCTCTCTCTCCATCTCAGCACCCTCAACCTGGCATCACCGATGTGTTCTGCTCCTATCAAATCTAGTTTTTGTTTTGTTATGTTTTTTGGGGGGGTCCGGTTGTGGGGCCTGAACTCTGGGCCTGGGCGCTGTCCCTCAGCTCTTCAGCTCAAGGCTAGCGTTCTACCACTTGAGCCACAGCGCCACTTCCAGCTTTTTTCTTTTTGCTTATGTGGTGCTGAGGAATCGAACCCAGGGCCTCAGGCATGTAAGGCAAACGCTCTACCACTGAGCCACCTTCCCAGCCCTCAAATCTGGTTTTAGATTTCACATATGAAGGGTTCACTTTTGTGTGCTGGGTTTATTTCAATTAGCATAATGTTCTCCAAGTCTGCAATTTTTTAGGCTGAATAATGTATATAAGTTTTAAAACAAATCTGTGTGTCTATATGTGTATGTCACATATCTTTTATTAATCACTCTTAGGATGCTCTCCTATCCTGGCTCCTGTGGCTTCACTTCAGTGAACATGGGAATGCATTTATCTCTCTGACATGCTAATCTCATTTTATGTTCATGAGCAAACCATTGTAATCGCATTTTTAATTTTTTGAGGATACTATGTCCCATTTGGGCTGTACTACGTTGACTCAAGGCTAGAACAGAATAAAAGGTTTTCAACACTTCTTGAAAGGTTATTGCCTCATAATACTATTTATTTCCTTTAGGAAAAAAGTATTGAGGCAATTTTTTAAAAGATGTAATAAGGCGAGGGGGCAGGTGCATGGAGATGAGTGTACTTATATGAAAATAGAACTAGGCGGGCTGGGAAGGTGGCGCAGTGGTAGAGCGCTTGCCTTGCATGCCTGAGGCCCTGGGTTCGATTCCTCAGCACCACATAAGAAAAAAGCAGGAAGTGGTGCTGTAGCTCAAGTGGTAGAGGGCTAGCCTTGAGCTGAAGAGCTGAGGGACAGTGCCCAGGCCCAGAGTTCAGGCCCCACGACTGGACCCCCCCCAAAAAAGAAAAGAAAATGGAACTAGGTAAATTGAGGGGATGGGTGGGATTGGGAAAGATGGTGGAGAATGATGGAAGGTGACATTAATCAAGATGTGCTGCCAGCACTGGTGGCTCAAGCCTGTGATCCTAGCTACCCAGGAGGCTGCGATCTGAGGATTGTGGTTCAAAGCCAGCCTGGGCAGGAAAAGTCCATGAGGCTCTTATCTCTAATTAACCACCAGAAGTGGCACTGTGGCTCAAGTAGTAGCCTTGAGCTGATGAGCTCAGGGACAGGGACGGCGCCCAGAGCCAGAGTTCAACCCCCACCACCAGACGGAGGGGGGAGGATGAGCTGTACTCAGAAACTGACAGGCTGGATTGAAACCTCTTTGTACAACTACTTAATTACTTAATGTTAATTTTTTTTT